GTACCTCCCAGAATTCTCACGTGTTGTGGGAAGGACCCAGGGGGAGGTAATTAAATGATGGGGGTCCTCTATGCTATTCTGACAGTGAATAAGTCTCACGAGATCTGATGGGTTTATCAGGGGTGTCCGCTTTTGCTTCTTCCTCATTTTTATCTTGCTGCTGCCATGTAAGAAGTGCCTTATGCTTCCCGCCATGATTCTGAGGCCACCCCAGTCACGTGGAACTGTAAGTCCAATTAAACCTCTTTTCCTTCCCATTTTCGAGTGTGTCTTTATCAGCAGCATTAAAACGAACTAATACAGGCTCTTTGGAGAAATGGCTGATTCCAGTTCTGGACAAGGAATATACAACATGCCTGGCCTGGAATATCTTGTAATTAAAGAAAAAAAGTCAAACCATCACCATCAAATGGAATAGCAATGGACTAAAATACATCAAAATCAAACATATTTCAAAATCACTGGCATATAAAAAACTCCAAATCCATGAGTTTATAATGCTTAAGAAAACAAATCTGGGAGAACGATCCAAGATGGCCGATCGCTAACATCCCGAGATTGCAGCTCTCAGGGAAGGCTCGGAGAACTAGAGGACGCCACACTTTCAGATAAAGTCTGGTTGCTCACGGAGCAGAAGATCCCCCAGTGGAGGAAACACACGGGTCGCCAGCGTGACTCTCGTGGCCGGTGCAGCGGTTCCGCCCGCACCTCGGCGTGGCAGCTCTCGGAGCAGAGTAAACACATTTGGAGGACCCGCATGGGCCCCAGCACAATACCAGAGCCAGGCGCAGCGGCAGTGATGGCACCTCGGTGCCGCAGCGCTCGGCGCAGAGTAAACGGGACAGGTTCCCCTTCTGACCGAGGTTTGGAGTCCTGGGAAGGCAGAGTCGCCTACTACGGACACAAGAAGGAAGCCAGAAAGGAGAATCCTGGGCAGAAAAGCAACATCAGTTTTAACACCGCTGCTCTGGCCCTGGGAACTAACAACCTGGACGTCCACTCAAGAGACCTAATCTGAAAGTTGGTAATTTCAAAGACTACAGGAGGATAAATTTACAATGATGGGAAGAAACCAGCGTAAAAAAGCTGAGAATACTCAAAGTCAGAACGCCTCTCCCTCTAAAGATGATCACAGTTCCACATCAACAATGGAACAAGGCTTGATGGAGAACGAGCGCCTCCTGATGACAGAATCACGCTTCAAGGAATGGATAATAACAAACTTCGGTGAGTTAAAAGAACATGTTGTAGCCCAACGTAAAGAAACTAGGAACTTTGAAAAAAGGTTTGATGAAATCCTATTGAGAATAGACAACCTAGAGAGGAGTATGAGTGAATTAATGGAACTGAAGAATACAATACAGGAACTCCGAGAAGTATGCACAGGTTTAAACACTCGAATTGTTCAAGCAGAAGAAGAGATATCAGAGGTCAAAGTTCAACTTAATGAAATAAAACGTGAAGAAAAGATTAGAGAAAAAAGGATAAAAAGGAATGAGCAAAGTCTCCAAGAAATGTGGGACTATGTGAAAAGACCAAATTTACGTTTGATAGGTGTACCTGAATGCGACGGAGAGAATGAATCCAAGCTGGAAAATACCCTTCAGGATATTATTCAGGAAAATTTTCCTAAACTAGCAAAGCAGGTCAACATTCAACCCCAGGTAATACAGAGAACACCACAAAGATATTCCTCAAGAAGAGCAACCCCAAGGCACATAATCTTTAGATTCACCAGGGTTGAAACGAAGGAGAAAATACTAAGGGCAGCCAGAGAGAAAGGTCATGTTACCCACAAAGGCAAGCCTATCAGACTGACAGCAGATCTCTCAGCAGAAACTCTACAAGCCAGAAGAGAGTGGGGGCCAATATTCAACATCCTCAAAGAACAGAACCTTCAGCCCAGAATTTCATATCCAGCCAAACTAAGCTTCACAACTGAAGGAAAAATAAAATCTTTTATGAACAAGCAAGAACTCAGAGATTTTATTACCACCAGGCCTGCTTTACAAGAGCTTCTGAAAGAAGCATTACACACGGAAAGAAACAACCAGTATTAGCCTTTCTAAAAATACACCATAAAGTAAAGAGCACCAACATAAAGAAGAATTTATACCAACGAATGGATAAAACAGCCGGTCAGCATCAAATGGCAGTAACCCTAAATATAAATTGACTAAATCCCCCAATAGAAAGACACAGCCAAAACCCAATGGCATGTTACATCCAGACCTGTTTCACATGCAAGGATACACAAAGACTCAAAACAAAGGGATGGAGAAAGATTTACCAACCAAATGGAGAGCAAAAATAAATAATAAATAAATAAAAAGCAGGAGTTGCAATTCTCGTATCGGATAAAATAGATTTTAAAGCAACAAAGATATAGTGGTAAAAGGATCAATGCAACAACAAGAGCTAACGATCCTAACACCCAGATACGAGACTTAGATTCAATGAGACAGAAAATTAATAAGGATATCAAGGACTCGAACTCAGATCTGGAACAAGTAAACTTAATAAATATTTATAGAGATCTCCACTTCAAATACACAAAATATACATTCTTGTCAATACCACATCACACCTACCCATAAGTTTAAATGAAACATTGATTGGCCATTATTAATACCCAATTTTTTTCAAAATAAAGCAATATTTCCATTTACTCTCCCTCTTTTTCTTCCTCTTTCTTCCTCTCCTTTACTTATTTTTTTTTTCTTTCCTTCTCTCAAAAAAAAAAGAAATCAACTTGTAAACCTCTAGATCCAGGTCGGCAATGTCTCTCTCATTGCTTGATTTCCTTCCTTCCCTTCCCTCCCTCCCTCCCTCCATGCTTCCTCCCTTCCTTCCTTCCTTCCTTCATCCCTTCCTTCCTCCCTACCCCGTCCTTCTTTCCTCCCTTCCTGCCTTCCTCCCCCACCCAAAAAAAAAAAAAAGAAAACAAATCTTTTGTTTACATGCTAGCTAATTATTATTTTTTAAACCTGATGAATATAGGCAAAGAATCAAGGATTTATCCTAATATTTGCTGTAATAACTATATATACTTAAGGATAACTGAATAGTTGATAAAGGTAAGTTTCTTCTGATAGAAATATTCACAAATCTTAAACCTGAATGTAAGAAATCTTCTAGATCTAACTACAGAAAAATGCAATCAAGCAAAATCCAAGACAGAGGAAACTTTATGGGATAAACTATCTGGTTTCTTCAAAGGATGAATCATGAAGAGAGAGAAAGAGAGAGGAAATCTCTACATCAAAAGATATCAATTAATGGAAATGTGTAGATCTCATTTTGATCCAGGTTCTTACAAATAGTAAAACAGGAATCATTTACGAGACAACTGAAGAAATCTGAAATTTAATGGAAATGATTTATTAATTTAGAGATTATAATACTACATTTGTTTTTAAAGAATACTTAATCTTTAGCCATGGTATAATTTTAATAATTATTATTTCAGTCTCTATTATTAATAGTTTAAAATAATTTAGGGATGAGAAACAAGGTAAGCAACATTAAATGAAATAAGATGAGCCAAGTGTTGACAATTGTTTAACCAAGGTTGGGGTGCAGGGGAGTCATTGTACTGTTTTTCTCTGCTTATAAATGTTAAAATTTAAAATAACAAAAGATAAAGTTTCAAGTAATATTGTAAAATTAGTAAAACGATGAAAGGCTTCATTAGGATAGAGATTCCCACACAAATATCAAAATACTTAAGGTGAGGCATATTCTGTCAATCTTACATATAAATAAAAATGAAAATGGTTCTTCATATTACAGAGAATCATGACCTGATCCAGATTGAACTGGAAGGATCCAAATCATGAGTACTTCAAACCTAGGGCCTTACAAATTGCACTGAAATAAAAAGTATATTCAGTACTGGTGAGCAAGTGGGTGTTTCAGATGCAGGGATTCAACATTATGGAAATGCACAGATCATAAGAGTTTAATGGAAATACTTCTTTCTACTTGGTCATTTTTAATAAACTTTAAATGACTAACAAAGCTTTAACGATAACATCCATTTCTGCTTAGAAGTAGGACAGTTAATATATAATATGAAAGAATACAAATGAATATTTATAAATATGAAAATGAATAGTTTTATGTTTCATAGTATATCTACATTTACTCCCCTTCTGTTCTTCCCCAAGCCTGGTTATAAACTTGCTGGTTTTGACAAGCAAAACACAAATAGAACAGGTGCCTTTTTTAGCACTCTAGGTGAATTCTGGCACTTGCTTGGACACCAGCTGTGTGCTAATTAGTCTTGTGATTGCCTAGATCACCAAATAATACAACACTGAAAATGCGACTGAAAGCTTCTGAAGGAACAAGTCTGCACACCGGCTGACAGATGCCCTGGAGAGAACAGGCCTTGTTCTGACAGCCTCTGGGTTGAGTTCTTTCACATTTACAAAGCCAGAGCTGGTTACATAAAACACATGCCTGCAAGTCAGTTCAGGGAATGCGGGTGAAGGGTGCTTTTGAGGATGCAGAGCAGAAGTATTCTCTGGTCTAGCAATCCTGACACAGACAGATGTCCAGTGTCTGGTCTGTGTCTAAGTGCCATCTTTTGATTAAGTGTTAGCAACAGCACACCCAGGGTATTTCAACCTTGTTCTCCAGTAGACTTCAGTGGGTTACTTTTGGGCCTTCCCATTTAACCTTTCATCTTTATTTAGCCAGTAACAATAATGAATTGATGTATTGCTTCTCATTCTAACAGATGAAGCAGATTACTGCATGGCCAATTTGGACAGGACACGAGATGGCCTGACAACTCTCAAAATATACAAGATTTTGGCAAATGGTCACAGGGAAGGCTTTCTTTCTGAACATGACTTTATGCCTCATCATATTTAATAATCAAAAATATCAAATTTAAAATCAAATGCTCAATCATTGCATTCTTTCAACAAGTGATAAAATGGATACATTTTATTACAAAAATGAAAAACAAAACAAAACAAAAAAAAACCTACCTGAAGACTGCAAGGGTCAGAGACCAGAGCACTAATGGCTTCCTCAGCTCAAACTTCGCTCGTTTGTTCATTAGGTGCCGACCACCAAATATAAAGGCAGCATACAGAGCAGAAAACAGGAAAGATTTCTTCCTGCAAACAAGCAAACGAAATCTTTAAGTAAGATATTTTTAGTCATTAGGTAATATCCAATTTTGTACCAGTTCTACTCTTTGTAAGCACTGAGAAAATATTCTTGAGAATAGGCCTGCTTCACCGAAGAGAGTCTAGTCCATGTGGCAAACTGGTATTCTGCTGAAATCGCCCTTGACAAATCAAGTCATCCAGCAGTTTAACCAACATATTAAGTATCACCTCAGGATAGGTATATTTCCTTTGTGGGCTCTGTGACTGAAATTTCAACAACATAGCATTGAATACAAAAAGTAGCCTTTTCACTGAGAGAACTAATTTTATTCTTTAGAGTTTGTTAAGCCAATTTAGAGACATACATGAATTTTACAAAGAAATGTTTTTATTGGAAATATTTAGTGACAAAGTTTTGTCTTGGAACAAGAAAGCCATTTAATATTTTATCTTGGGTGGGTGTGGTGGCTCATGTCTGTTATCCCAACACTTTGGGAGGCCAGGTGAGCAGATCACTTCAGGCCAGGAGTTTGAGATCAGCCTGGTCAACATGGTAAAAATCCCCTCTTTATTAAAAATACAAAATTTAGCCAGGCCTGGTGCCGGGCACCTGTAATCTTAGCTACCCGGGAGGCTGAGGCTGGAGAACTGCTTAAACCTGGAAGGCGGAGGCTGCAGTTCCCTGAGATCACACCACTTCACTCCAACCTGGGTGACAGAGCAGAGCGAAAAAAAAGGTAAAAGAATAAAAGAATTGTTACTCCATAGGCAGAGCAGTCCTGAGGGCTGCTGACTGGCTATTTTTATGGCCAGTTTTAAAATTACACGCTAAACAAGGGGTGGATTATTAATGAGTGTTCCAGGGAAAGGGGCGGGGATTTTCCCAGGAACAGAACTGAGGGTTCCTTCCCTTTTAGACTGTATACTACGGCCTTTGTAAACTGTCAAGGAGTTGGTGGGATCTTTTAGCATGCTAATGTATTATAATTAGCATGTAATAAGCAGTGAGGATGATCAGAGGTCACTTTCATCACCATATTGGTTTGGGTGGGTTTTGGCGAGCTTCTTAACCTGTTTTATCAGCTGGGACTTTGTGACCTGTATCTCCTAATTTATCCTGTGACTAAGAATTGCTAACTTCCTAGGAATGCAGCCCAGTAGGTCTCAGCCTCATTTTACTTAGCTCCTCTTTAAGATAAAATCACTCTGGTTCAAATGCCTCTGACTATAGTACTGATAATGCCAAAAAATAAATTCAAAAGCAAAAATCAACGAGCTTCTGCAATAGAACTATGATTCGACAGAAAGCAATAGAAGCCTTGTAAGTAATTTAAACAGTTGGGCATACTTCCTGAGAAAGCAATGTTTCTCTTAAAATGGGTCTTCCCTACTCAATTAGATCAACAAGTTTGAGAAATAAGTTACAAAACATAATATCAAAAGCAAAATGTGTTCACCTGATATTATTTGTAAAATGCTTCACGTTTTCCCCCTTCATGCTGACATTCAATGCTGACTCACAAGCAACCTTGCTATTTACACAAGCAACATTCCTACATAAATGAATGCAAGTGACCTACTTAGTGAATACCATCAAATAAAGCAATTATTCCATAAATCAACCCAGAAATAAATGTTGAACAAATCAGTTCCACTGAGGTTTACAGACTCTTCTGTTGGACACACAAGACCTGGCACACAGTAGGTGCTTAATAAATATCTGTTGAATGAACATGGTCTAGTCCTATAAAATTTTCTGATGGGGAAAATTAGGCATCTGTGTATAGTAAACAGGCAACAAACACCGATCGAAAGTTGCACTTTTCCTGTAACATATTAATAACTAAAAAGTAAATTATTCAGAAAAATATTATGATACATTTTCTTCCCCCAGAAAGACATTGAAATAAAGTTCTACCAAGTTAATGTAGGAGATAGTAATATGAAAATGTATATACTTTTTTCTAATTTATAAAGGTAATAAGTGACAATGATTTATAGAGTGATTCCCATGGGCAGACATAATGCCAAAAAGTTTTACCATTTAATCCTCTTAATCACCTGATGGTGCAGGTAAAGTATTATCTTTATTTCATAGATAAACAGGCCTAGAGGTGAAGTAGCCCTAGATTTTCCTGTTCTTGTGGTAAATATTCAGAAGAAAAAGGGGTACTTGATTTGTTATCTTATAAGCTGTAAAAATTCCTTAAGCTCTCCTGTTGAATTACATAATCATAGCATAATGTGTAGAACATTGTTTAACTGTGAAAAGATCTTCATGTTTCCACTTTCATATTTTCTGAGCCTGGGAAACTTTCATCTAAACCTTTTTTTTGCTTCTTTGAGAACAGAAATTAATTATACATCTATCACTGAAGACATTTCCTTAAAATTATCATTATTTATCTTACTCATTCAACGTAATTGAGATTCTGATTATGCTTGTATTAACTGTATCACTTGCAATTATAAACAAACCAAGTTAGATGAATATCTTCATACAATCCTATCATTCTAGCCATAAAGGGAAAAGTAATGCCTCAAGAACCAAGAAAAGAATTAAAAAAAAAAATCTTCCCTATGTATATTTTCTCTAATTTCCTCACTTCTAAAATGAGAATTAGTCCTAATGCACTGCTCACTTCCCTGCAAGGGTCACTCACTTTTCCACGTGATTTTTAGAGCTCTCTTTACAAAGCATCAATTCAACAGCGAAGGCAACGAGTCAGTCAGTACAGAGTTACAGAATTTGATAATTGCAAGGAACCTTGGAGGTGGAGCCCAATTTCCTCCTTTGACAGAACAGAGAATAGGGAGACCGGTGACACAAGTCACTCATGGTCACACAGCTGCAACTGTACACTGGTCAAGTCTATCCAACATTGTCATGGCTGTGATCAGGCAGGTTGGCAAACACAAAATAACTGCATAAGCTATATCTGGGTCACAGGCAGTTCACGGAAATTGGTTTAAGTGCTATGATCAAAGTAAGTTGTTCATTGCATGCACAGAAATCTTTTACTGTGGTGAAATTCAAATGCTTTGGGTTAGTTTAGAATTAAACCTAAGCATCTGCTATAAGTGGGAGTTGCCTAAGGAAGCATTAATACTAACCTCTTTAACACTTTTAAAACTTACCCTGAAAAGGGCACCACCCACTTCAGCTGATACCTATCTACCTAGTGAAGAGAAAGTTTTCATGTTCTAAGGGGAAGAGTCTGACGCTGAGACAGAATGCCAACTGGTGCAGCTCCCCCTCTTTTAAGAGTTATCACATATGGTTGAATGTACTATTACTTTTCCACATTGCTTAGAAGACAAGATTTTCTTTAATAAACAGGGAAATTTAAGTGAATTAAAATTGGCTTTCCTTTCTGACATCTCCCTGGTAAAGTTCCGTTATATTCAAGATGAATAGTGCTTTGCCACTAGCACACTTAGTTTTTAGTGTGGATAGATTGCTTTCCTAATGGTTCAGTGGTAATCCAATAATACTTCATATACTGGCAATCCTCCATACTAGGGTATAATGTTAACACGATAGTGTTTAATTATCAGATAATTAGTCATTTCTAGATAGCATGGACTCTTCCGGTTTAATAAATTTTAAATGTGCATCATATACCACAACCCGTAACTATAGGTACTTAATAAGTACTTTTCAGTATGGTGATTCGGGAGTTATGATTCCTAGGTGACCAACCAAATAAAGACAACTCAAATGAAATACTGATGTGCTTTAATTCTGTCATGCTTATATTGATCCTTTTCCCCCTTCTATTTCTGTCATCAAGATGAATAATGGAAATTATTCCATAATTAATAAAAATAAACAGTGTTTTTATCCTTAGATATCTGAATTTCTCTATCATGCTATCTTGTTCCAAAACATTCTTAGGAGATGCTTTTTTGATTCTTACCAGGGAGCTGAGCAAGTTCTCACTTATGATTTGTATTAATTGCTCTACCCATTAACACTTCTGAAAGAGCGTGCATAAATTCAAAGACATGTTTTTTCAAACTTGTGGGATGTCACTGAAACCAGTGCTCAGCTTGAGTTTCCTAAGCACTCATATCAAGATTTCTGTACCCCCAAGTCAAACCAGTTTATTTGCTAATGAAAAAACGTTTATGTGGGCAGTATTTCAACACGGAATAATTGCTAACGAACACTTTGGGAAGCTGGCCTGTGCTCCCTCCTGGCTTTTTCATGCCTTATCTACATGGCCTTCATTATGGCTACTGTACACGTGTGAGGTACAAGGAGTTGGAAAAGCAAAGATCAAGCAGCGAGGGAATAAAGAAAAGGGCATCACCCACTTCAGCTGATACCGATCTACCTAGTGCAGAGAAAGTTTTCATGTTCTAAGGGGAAGAGTCTGACACTGAGACTGGTGCCAACTGGTGCAGCTCCCCCTCTTTTAAGTGTCCTTTATAGTTCAGTTGCTGACTTAAGTCAGGAAACAACTTACGGTTCTGAAAGTGATTTTAAGGATACAGATAAAGTAGGGACCCAGAGGCTAGAGGAAATAACACAACTTTTTGCCAATATGACATTTAATGTATGTCTATGGTGGTTATAATTTGATAAGAATATTAAAATAAGATTTTCTTAAGAGGGATCCTGAGGTTTCTTGAAGTCCTACCCAGGACTGAATTCTGTCACATTCTTAAGGATTCCCCAAGATTTCATATAGGCATTTTTTTAACCTTAAAAACAATGGAAATTTTTCAGCAGATTTTTTTTTTTTTTTTGAGACAAGGTCTCATTCTGTCACTTGAGCTTACCACTCATGGTTGTGACCATGGCTCACTGCAGCCTCAACCTCCTGGTTGCAAAGCAACCTGTGCTTCAGCCTCCCAGGTAGCTGGCACTATAGGTGCATTTAATTCTTTTAATTTTTTTGCAGAGATGGGGTCTCAGCTCCTGGACTGAAGCAATCCTCCTGCCTCAGCATCCCAAAGTGCTAGGATTACAGAGGTAAGCTGCCACACCTGGCCAGGAG